GAGGAGGAGGAGGAGGAGGAGGAGGAGACTACTGAGAGTTTTGATTTTAGGATGCCAAGAGAGTCCCCCGGAGAGTCTCGATCGCCACGGGGAGGGCTCGCGTGTGTTCTTGTCTTCCTCGTCGTTGTCCTCAGACCCTCGGCGTCATGATTTTGGCATGATGTCGACTCCCAGAGGTCGCGACCCATTCTCCAGGACCGGATTCTCATCCCAGCGACGGCCCCCAGAGGCCGAAGACAGCCAGAAATTTTCCAGTGAGATTTCTTCATGACCCGAGGGGTCTGGGTTGGAATCCCCCGGATAGTTTGGTTTGGACGCAGCTCAGGCCTGGGGACGGCGGTGTCCGGCAAGTGTCCCGCCCCCCCAGATTTGGACCCATCACGAGCACTCCCCAGCCGAGTATGACCTGACTACAACGCCTGCCTCGCTGTGAAGATGAGGAACATCCTTGTCTTGTTTGGGGCGGCTCGTGAGGTGAGCTCCATGAGAAAAGACATCTCATGTGGACCAACAGGGGAAAAGCTTGCCTGTTATTGATTTTCAGTGCGTATACACACTATGAAATTTTGGCTTACAGGCAACCCGCACAGTAAGGATGAGCAATTTTCCAAGGATACCCTTGCATCCTGCCCCTTGCTCCATCCTTGACCGCTTTCGCTGGCCGGGCCCCGCTCGCAAAGTGTCGCAATGGCATTCCAAGTGCGTCCGTATCATACAGGTTGATTGTAGGACCTGACGCACTAACACGTCTCCCTCACTGTGAGGATGGGGACATCCTTTGCTGGGGCGGCACATCTGTGAAATGATGTCGCAGGTGTCCTAAGGTGAGCTCCACGAGAACAGAAATCTCATGTGCACCAAAAGGGGAAACACTTGCATGATGTTGATTTCCATCTGGGAAATTTTCTGAGCCTCCCCCGAAGACACCGACAACCTCTCGGCGGGCCGAAGAGCTTCTGAGAAGCTCCGCCGCCCTCCGAGAAGGCTTTCTCCATCTCGCTTCCCCCCCCCCCGCCCGCCGCCGAAACGCGCCTCCCTGGTAACGACCCAGGCATCCTCCAATCTGATTTTTTCAATAAGGGGTCGGGGTATTTTTTTCGTCCCGGTTTCAATTTGCGCCGTCGACAACGACGACCACGACGACCACCACGACGACCACGACGACGACGACGACGACGACGACGACGACGACGACGGCCACGGTGGCCGTGCCGTGCGCGCGCCCAAGGCGGGCGGCCGCCGCCCCCGGCGACCCTTCCCCCAGGGCTAAAACATGCACCAGGATCTCGACATCGAAGCTCCAGGTCGAGGCTCGAAGCAGTCCACAATAGGTCTATAGGTCTGCAGAGCTATGTTTGAGCACTCTGGAAGGTCAGGGGCTCCCCTCCCGAGGAGCGGGCGCGGCGGACCGCCGAGGAGCGCCTGGCCGCCGCGGAGGCGGAGCTGGCGGAGCTGCGGCCCGCGCTCGCGGAGTGTCGGCGGCAGGCGGCTCCGCCCGCCTTGGGCGCGAAGCACTCCTCAGACCCCCTCGGGCAATAAACCCAGACCCCGCATGTGGGGGGGCGATAAACCCAGACCCCCTCGGGCAATAACAAAATCACGACGGGAGGCTGTTCGCTCTTGTCGGCCTCTGAGGGCCCTTGCCGGGCCTCGGGACCGTCGGAAAACGAGCAAGGATGGAAAACCGGTCCCGCGGAGTGGGTCGAGACCGCGGGGGTTGACGTGAAGGGAAAATCATGACGTTGGGGGTTTGGGCAAATTGGGGGAGCGAGAAAGGCGGGGGGTAAGGGAGGAAGGTCGCTGTTTCGGATCCTGAAGGCCCCCTCGTCGGCCCCAGAGGGCCCCTGCAGGGGCCCTAAAGGGCCTCGTTTTCTGTAGCCCCCCTATTCATTCGCGACCAGCTGCTAGTCAGGGGGGAGGAGCCCAGCGATCCGACGCTCCAGGAAAAGCCAAGACAGAGCGGCGGGTTTGGGGCCATTGTTTCTGCCTCTGGGGGGCCCTCGCCGGGCCCTGGGACCGTCAAGAGAAAATTCAGAAGTGAAAAACCAGCCCTGGGGAAGTGGTCCAGATCCTGGTCCCACGCATCGAACATATTGGAGTGGCCGGACGTCTGGGGAGGAGGAGGAGGAGGAGGAGGAGGAGGAGGAGGCGGAGGCGGAGGGGAGGAGGAGAGGAGCAGCGGATTAAGTGAGGAGGAGGAGAAAGAGGAAAAGGAGAGGAGAGGAGGAGGAGAGTAGGAAGGATGATGAGAGAAGAGAGGGGAAGCAGGAGGAGGATGAGGAGGAGGAGGAGCGGGAGTAGTGGAGAGGAGAAGGAGGAGAGCAGAGGATGGGAGTTCTTGCTAATTTTCAGTCTCTGGGGGCCCTCGTCGGGCGCGATGCGCAAAGATGGGTGCGAGAGGAGAAACTGGTCCCTGGGAATGATGGAAACAGATCCTGATGTCGAATTCCTGGGGATGGAGAGGGAAATGTAGAGGAAGATGATGATGAGGAGAATGTTTAGGAGAGGAGAGGAGGAGGGGAAGCAGGAGGAGGAGGATGACGAGGAGGAGGAGGAGGAGGAGGAGGAGGAGGAGGAGGAGGAGGAGGAGGAGGAGGAGGAGGAAAATGATGATGATGATGAGGAGGAGGTGGAGGAGGAGGAGTTGTACCACTGGCCAAACTGCCAGGTCTGCGAGCGGGCCCCCATGGAACAGCACTTCGGGCGAGTCGTGGCGAGGCGGAGTACGCTACAACGGGGGACACCCATTGCTTGGGGCACAGGTCGAGACCCTGCCAGACACCCGGGCCGTCCCCGAGCCGGACTACGTTTCCGCCTGCTGCTGCTGCCGTCTCGCACGAGTTGTTGCCCGCACCGTAGGTGCAATGTGGCTCGCCTGGACCCCATGCGCTTGAGCAGCGACAGGAATGCTGTCACTGCCCGCCCTGCTGCCGAATGCCTTGGCATCGCTCGGACGTGCGCCTTTTTTTCCTCGGGGAGGACCATCGAGGAGCATCCTGGATCATCGAGCCAAACAAGCACGCACGAAACCAACAAATGCACGGGGACTTGACGTCCGAGCGATGGCAAGATGCACTGGAGCAGCGACAGGAATGCTGTCGCTGCGCTGCTCCTCCTCCTACTCCTCCTCCTCTCCTCCTCCTCCTCTCCTCCTCCTCCTCCTCCTCCTCCTCCTCCTCCTCCTCCTCCTCATCATCATCATCATCATCATCATCATCCCTCATCCTCCTCCTCCTCCTCCTCCTCCTCCCTCCCTCCTCCTTCTCCTCCTCCTCCTCCTCCTCCTTTTGCTCCTGCTTCCACTGCCTGCCTTCTCGCACGTTCTGGTCCTAGCGCCGTGGCTGAGATGTGCATCGCACGACCCCCATGCCGCGCGACAACTTGCCGCTGCCACTTCGAACTGACTTCTGCACTGCAATGGAGACGTGTCTGGCACGACCCCGTGCAGCAACAGAGCCTGCTGCCACCGACTGCATTTCCACACGGCCCGTTCGCCGCACTGTAGCTGAAAACCCGTCTCACAAACACCTTTCACCTTCTCGCACGAGCTGGTCTCTGCATTGGAGCTGAGATGTGTCCCGCACGAGCCTCTTCTCCACAGCAGAGTCCGCGACCACCGCCTTCCTTCTCGCACGATCTGACCCCTGCACTGTAGCTGCGATGTACCTCGCAAGACCCTCGTGCAGCGACAGATGCTGCTGCCACTGCCTGCCTTCTCGCACGACCCGGTCCCCGCACTGTAGCTGAAGATTGTCGCACGACCCTCCATGCAGCACGATGACTGCTGGCACTGCCTTGTCGCACGATCTGACCCCTGCACTGTAGCTGCCATGTGTCTCGCACGGTCACGTGCACAGCAGCAGAGCTTGCTGTCACCGCCTTCCTTCTCGCAGGACCCGATCCGCGCACTGTAGCTCAGAACCTGTCCCACGAGCGCCTTCTCGCACTGATCCTCGCACCCGTACTGTCCACTGCCACTGCCTGCCTTCTCACACGAACGAATCCCGGCGCTGCAGGTGAGCGGAGTCTCGCAGCGCTGATATTCGGGGGCGGCAAAGAGGGTGGTGAGGACTAGGGGGGGGGATATCATGGTGGGGGCCAATTCATTTCCCGAGATTTCATGGTGCCTCTTACGTCCCTGGCCCCGCCGCTGGGCCGCGAACATGCCGCCGGTCATGATTTGCACCCCCCCCCTCTTGGACACCCCCCTCTTGGCCGCTCCCGAGATATCGTGCTCTAGTTTCGCCTTCACCTTTCGTTGTCGCACGCTGTGGCCCGAGTGCGGTAGCTGATGACGTCGGGCTCCGCTTCAACCCTCAGTCGGCACCGCTGCCCTCGTTTTGTTGCCACTGCCTGCCCGTCTCGCACTGGCAGAGACTGCTGCCACCTCCACCGCCTGCCTTTCCGCCCGAAGCAATCGCAGCACTGGGGGTTTGTCTGTTGCGTCGCCGGGTTGCCGATCATGTAGCTGATGACGTTGGGCTCCGCCGTGTCGGGTACTTGCGTCTGGTCGCGCAGGCTGTAGTGCCACGTGAACGGGATGCGGACTCCTTCGGGCGTCAGAGTTCGCACTCGAATGAGTATTGCACGGCGCTCCCTTGATGGCGGGGCGGTGGAGAAAGAGCGAGGGACGCAGGAGGGAGGCACCGAGGCGGGGACATCAGGTGGCGGCCCACCTTGGTAAGGCCTGGTCCCAGCTCTGTAGCTGGCGATATTGGGATTCCCCTTTCTTAATGGATCTTTCCGTCAAAAACTCGGGACCCCCCTACCCGAGACAGTGGCTGAGGGGGCGGAGGAGGACAAGGAGGAGGAAGAGGGTGGAGACGAGGAGGAGAAGAAGAAGGAGGAGGACGAAGGGGGGAGGGATGAAGAGGGGGAGATGGGGGAGTTGGAGGAGGAGGACGACGAGGATATTGATGAGCATGAGGAGGAAGAAGATGGTGTCGATGGTGGTGACGTGGAGGGGCACGAGGAGGAAGGCGAGACAGCGGGCGGATCCAGACTTCCATGCAGTGCACGAGGGGACAGAGGAGTGGACCTATCACAGGGGGGGCATGGGCCCCGAGGCCCGGGGGCCACGACCCCTGCCGCAACTTTGGGGTCTTCGGGCCTGGCCCCCGAGCCAGCACATCGCGTGGCCCTCGGCCCCTCCCGCCACCGCGCCTGCGCTGTGGCTCGTGGGCCGCGGCTGGGTGTGAGCTGTCTTTGCAAGGCCCGCCCTCGAGCGCCCCCCTCGCGGGCCGCGGAGGCCTTCGGCCCCCCCGCTCCCCCCGGAGACCCCGGCACCCTGCCTGCCAGGGATTCCGGCTTCCTCCTGCCGCTCGTCCTCCTCCTCCTCCTCCTCCTCCTCCTCCCTCCTCCTCCTCCTTTTCCTCCTCCTCCTCCTCCTTCACCGAGGGGACCCATGGGTGCACAAGGGGGCTTCGAAAAAAAAAGAAACAAAACGTCGTAACGTCGCCGCTCGCCGCTTCTGGGCAGCAGGCGCTTGGCGCTCGCGGCGCCCTCAACCTGCCACATCCAAGATCCGGCACAACAGTAAATGAGAGAGGGCAGGGACGAGGGAGAGGACGGAGGGGGAGAGCCAGAGGCAGAAACGACGGGAGCGCGGCCATGGGGTGTGAGCCACCAAACCCCACCTCGTCCTCGTCCTCCTCCTCCTCCTCCTCCATTCCTCCCCTCCCTCCTCCTCCTCTCCCCTCCTCCTCCTCCTCCTCCTCCTCCTCCTTCCTCAAGCTGTCCTGGGCTTCCCGAGGACATCCCGAGGGCCCCTGCGGCCTCCGGGGAGGGGCCGACGGAGGCCGCGCCCGAGGGGTTGTTCGTCCTGCCCCAAGGGGCGGGCCGCCGCGGGGGGGGGGGGGGAGCCTCACGTGGGGCCATCGCCCGAGGCTGAGGGCTATTGTCACGGTGTAGCCGAGCCCCATCCCCGTCCCCATCCACATCTGGAGCCCCGCCGTCTGACCACCTCAGTTGGGGACATGGCCCGCGAAACCCGAAGAGAGCAGCCTGTATCCCCCTATCCAGGGGGGGTACATCGGCCAGTGGGGCCCAGCCCACGCTGGCGGGGATGGGGGGCGGCTATGATATGGCATGCCTCAACTTTCCCATTCGTCCTGTCCAGCACGCTCCTGCGGCTCCTCGCGTAGTCCCCCCATCCTTTTGGCTCGAGTTTGTGAGGCAGCTGCTCTTGGATTCAGCCAACACCGCATAGTCGTATCTTCACTCCTTCGCTCACTCATGGGTGGACGAGACGATGAGAAGTAGCAGCAGCGATGGGTGTTACGGAGGAGGATGGAACAGAAGAAAGGGGGGCAGGGGGGATCCTTCTCCCTTTTCCTCCTCACCATCCCTCCCTCCCTCATCGCGTTTTCCTCCAAACTCCTTCCTCTCCCTCCGCCTTGTCTCTCTTTCCGCCTCCCTTCTCGCTTATCCTTCTTTCCGCTTCCTTCCTCCCCCCTCACTGCTCCCTCCGCCCTTCATCTTCCTTTTCAACGTTCTCTCCTCTGATGGTTCTTCCTTCTCCTCCTCCTCCTCTTCCTCCTCCTCCCGACCCTCCTCCTGCTCCTCCTCCGCCTCTTCCTTCTCCCCCTCCTCGTGCCTCCTCTCTCCTCCTTATCCACACCTTCCCGTCGCCGACGACTCAACACGCCAGCGACCAAGGCGAGCACGACGACGCCAGCGGCGACGACGAACACGCCGTCGACAACGGCTGCCAGCCCCGACGCCAGCGATCACCATGGCTGAAGCAGCCAGCGACGGCCGCGGCGACGACGCCGACGACGACGACGACGACCACAAACAACCACCACGACCACCACCACAACCACCACCACCACCCCACCCCCACCACCACCACCACCACCACCACCACCACGGCTACAGCGGCGACGGCGGCGGCGACGGCGGCGACGAAGGCGGCCTCCCCGCGGCAAGGTGGAGGATTTGTGCGCCGCCGAGATGCAGCACGCCGACGAGCGCCGGGTGGCCGCTCAGGCAGGCTCGGCGCTCGAG